TCAGAGCCTGGTGGAACTCGATGAAAGCGAAGCAACTTACTCACAAACAACTTACCCTACGTACATACATACATAGATACCTAAATACATACATACCTACCTACCTACCTACCTACATACCACCATCGTCCCTCCATCACTCTTATCCTTCCTCTTCCCTTCTCGCTTTCTGTGCTCCGTCTAAGTCTGTTTCTTCACTGAGGTCGATGCCTTCGTCCTTACCAAACGGTTCGGCTTCGGTCGAGCCGACACCACGTTGCCGGTGGTGGGGACGTTAATGGGAGGCTTCACACTCACTCACACTCACTCACATTCACTCACACTCACTCACACTCACTCACACTCACTCACATTCACTCACATTCACTCACTCACTCACCCACCTACCTCACCTACCTCACCTACCTCACCTACCTCACCTACCTCACCTACCTCACCTACCTCACCTACCTCACCTACCTCACCACCTACCTCACCTACCTCACCTACCGCACTCACTCACTCACCACCCACTCACTCACTTCACTTCACTTCACTTCACTTCACTTCACTTCACTTCACTTCACTTCACTTCACTTCACTTCACTTCACTCACTTCACTCACTCTCACATCCTCACTCACACACCACACTCGCATCACTCACTCACTGTACATGAACATACATACATACACACAAACTCACCCACCATCACCGCTCCATCACTCTTATACTTCCTCTTCCCTTCTTGCTCTTCTATGGTCAGTCTAAGTCTAAAGAAGTTGGTAACATGTGGGGTTATCCGGTCCTTTAATGCTTTTCACATTTTGACTTCGAACTGTGCTTCGAGCCACAACGGCGTGCACTTTTTCGACATCTCAACCCCAAAAGTGGTCCGAACCTGTTTTGTTTTGATTGTTTTGTGCATTTTGACTTCGAAATGTGCTTCGCGCCACAACGGCGTGCACTTTTTCGACATCGCAACTTTTCCAAAAGTGGTCCGACCATGGTGTGTTTTGTGCATTTTGACTTCGAAATGTGCTTCGCGCCACAACGGCGTGCGCTTTTTCGACATCGCAATTTCCAAAAGTGGTCCGAGCATGTGGTGTTTTGTAACTTTGACTTGGAAATGTGCTTCGCGCCACAACGGCGTGCAATTGTTCATCTCTCATCTGGCCAGATGGCTCCGCACCCGCCGCTTTAGCGAGCCTACTTTTCGACTCCTCCGGAGCACACAAGTCATTGGAAAAACACAGTGTTTCGCGACTTTCCTACCTTTTCGCGCACCTGCATCTTCTTTCTTCTGACTCTTTCTCTTCTCTGATCTTCTCTCTTCTGCTCTTCTCTCTTCTACTCTTCTCTTCTCTCTGACTCTTCCCATCTCTGCTTTTCATCTGTCCATATTGTCGGAAGTTTGACTTCTAAACTTCCTTCGATGATATTTTCATATACTTTCGAGGGATATCCATGGCATTCGAGCATACGATGACATGTTCATCTTGGTGGACCTGCTCCCTGCTAGTTGAAGCTCTATATAAAGGATTCTAAAGGTCCGTTGATTCAAATTGCAGCAATCTAATATATACATTGATAAACTGTAAGTGATACACTCAGCAATTACCCAATTCCCTCAGAGACTTCCAGCCAAATCTAGCCAAGCCACGACAAAACAATCACCCCCATCAAATGCGCTGCGTGACTTGACATCTTAGGCGTCTCCTGCCAAGATGCAAATTCAGAAAGCCTTCACAACGAGTCATCACATTGCAATAGCACAATATTGGGGACAAAAAGGAGCCACTGATTGCGTCATGATATCGCGATGATATTGTTATGTTATATCAACTGTTATTTATTTACCATTTATTTTACCATCGAAGTTGGAGGTGGAAGAATCTTGAGCCAATCTCACATCACAGGTCCAGATCCTGACAGCAACTATCACCTATCGCTTGCTGTCAACGGTCACTTGACCAGTGTTCAAACTCTCCTGTGATCCCTCTATAGTGCTTTGTTGATGGGGATTTCCATTGTGGGTGATGATAATACCGAATAAACATCAATCAAGCAGGATATCCAGGATAATATAACATAATCTAACCCCCTATAGATCCTATAGATCCTATAGTGACCAATCAGCCAGATCAACCAGGGTCAACTGGTCACACGACATGGCGTCTCCGCTTCGGTGAGCTCTTCAAAACTGACGGAGACGCCTGGGAGACGGCAGAAATCAAGCTGTACAATGCACCAAACGGATCCAAACGGCAAAAACACATTGCATAACCTGGATCTCAGTGGATCTCAGTGGATCTCAGTGGATCTCAGTTGTACTGTTCAGTGATTGAATATGATCTATATGATCTATATGCACTGGTGTTCCAAGCTGAAGTCTATGTAGGCATGGGCATTCTTTTGCACTTCTGCTCAAAGATGCAGCTCGAAAATGTTCAACAGACATCAACAGACCAGATCAATGCAACCAAAGCACGTATCCCAGTCGAAATTAGAAAAATCGTCAGACCATTGAGCAGGCATTTCACCTGACAGGACAGAACCAATGGAACATTTGTTAGAACAGTACAGTACCATCTGTCCCACCAGGCATATCTAAGCCCATCCTGACCTAAAATGTGACCGTTGAAGACCACTGAAACTTGTCATATCTTGTCATCCTGCCAAAAGCGCTGAGAACCTTGCCGCAAAGTGCCTCCATGCCTCAGTGTGACACACTTCGTCCGTAGCAAAGCTGATTTTGGTATCTTCAGAGGTATCTAGAACTATCCATAGGAATAGGCATCTATAATATATATAATTTGTAATTAATATTCACTGCTGCATTGTTCGGATATGTGAGGATCTCTCGTGACTTAGGACATGTTCTGTGATGTTCTTTTGATCCACACTCCGTGCCAGCCACGCTGATCCCTACTGCTACTGATGCTATTGTTTCTTCTTCCGCTTCACCCGATGCAGTCCAAAAGGCAACGATGTTCGGGTTGAGATAGTACGAGGTAGCCTGAAACCATGGAAACAAAAAATGCCATCAAACATTGCAAAGTCACAGCTGCTAAACACCCAGCAGAAAAGATGTCTCCGATATGCAGTTGTTGATGTCATTTGCTTCCTTTTGATAGGATGAGAACACGAAGCGGTTTATGCCAAGAAAATATCATACAACGCTGAGAAAAGCTTGGTAAAGCCTTGTGATATGGAAACTGGAGCCTGCTCCATTCACCTTTTGAATCCTTTTGATGCAATCTCTCAAGAGCATCACAACTCCCAAACAGAGCGAGTCATTTCTTTCTTCATTTCATCCAGGTCACGATTTCGAATCCAGTGGGACCGGCTGTTTCCAATCGATACCTGCCAAATCAACTACTGCAACTGACTCGCGACTGACCAAATCAACTGCTGCGCAGGGCACGTGTGGTATGTCTGTGCAATTCCAACCTGGCAAGAGGGTCATCGTCATGTGAGAAAACAGAAACATTGAGAAACTCAACTGTGACAGATCGTTTCAAAAAATAGCAAAATTAAGTTGAAGATATCATATGATATGCAATCAAGAGGCATATACAGCAATGATGTTCAGGAATAGCACCATGCTCCTTGCTTGACAACCAGGTCCGGCCGGTCTGCTTTACCAGGTTCTACCAGTAGGATCTGGTGTGCATTCTGTTCTCATTTCTTCTAGGTCTCTTAGTTCACAGAATGATCTGGGCCGCAAGCATCAAAAAGAAACTCAAGCAACGAAGCCAGCCTGACACAAATTTCATCATCTGGCTAGGCATACTGAGCAAAAGTTGCAGCTATAGTCTGTTAGTAAATAGTTCCGTGGAAGCGATTTGCCCAAGGACACGAGATTGCAAGGTCAAATTTCTCATTCTCCGCCAGACTTCAGCACCGGCCTTCAACGGTGACAAAATTCAGCTCCTTCCTGGAAGATGGACCAAGGATGGACACAGCTCGAGGAAGCAGTACTGCAAGGTTTCGACTTATGTGAAAGCAGTTGTGTTGACGCCAAGAAGGTAAGAAAAATAGAACGATACATTTTCAGAGCAACGAAGAGGACTCAGCAATTTATTCTATACAATGAATCTCAGCCAAACCGTCGAGTGTCTTTCCAAATTTCGATGCTACACGAAAGTTTGGGCAGTGAAAACCAACCAATCGGATAAAGCAAATATTTCTGGTGCAATCGGCCGAGCGACTTCATCGCAATCACATGGGTGCACGTAGCCACCTTAGATTTCTTCCAACAAGCGGACGCGACATATATAGTTACAGGAGACTCACCAACTGTGTAGTATTGACCTAAAATGAATCAAAATGATCTAACTAACACATATCTAAGGAATTCTAAGGATAAATTATGATAAAAAGTCTCTTTAACATGTTTGTCAATTTCACTCGACTGCAAGCGATTGTACCGCTCCAACATCATGAAATTCTTTTGGCGGAGCCGCCATCAGCGAAGAGACAACGCCAAGCTTGGAGAAGGCTGCAAGCCTCCACAATGGATGAGGACCAAATGCCAAAGGTCATGACAAATAGAATGATGATGAATGATGAGTATTCCTGCCCAGAAACTAGCCATATCATACAAGAAGTATCGGATAATCTACCTAGAAACTTTGGCAAACAAATCCGCCGGAGGCCAATTGTTGTTGCATTATGTTGCATTTTACGCCGGAAACTTGTGAATTGCCGGAATTCTTCAAAAACGCAGGATAAATTTGAAATAGCCGGAGCTACAGATGTATGATGAAACAAAAAAAAAGAACCCCACTGAAAATTACGTCGGAATTGCGGGCAATTACGGCGCAATTACCCGGAATTGTGACGCCAGCTGGCAAAGTGAAAAACTATAGATTGAAAACCCTGCAAACCAGAATTGCTGGCGCCGATGTAAAAACACCTTTTTACATCTTATTAATTACGAGGCAAAGTTGCCTTTTCCATCCTTTTCCTAGAAGGCAAAGCTAATAGGGTGTGTGGGGTCTCTATAGGTACAGGGATTTAATGGATTCTATGTGCAAATTTTTCATAGACGGTCAGACGTAGTTCTCCAAGAATCTCCCCATGATCAAACCGTCGCTTCCCATGGTCCCATGGCTGCCGCATGCTGCCGCACCTTTTGTTCAACACGTTGTCCTGAAAGAATCGCGGATCATTTTGCAGGTCCATGGAGTCAGACTGGACCAGGCCGAAACTGTTTTCCATCCTGGGCCGAATTGTTTTTTGGCATCCGAAGATTACCACTGTCAAAGCTGGCCATGGGAAATAGATGCAAAATGATGCAAATAGCAATATAGATGTTCAATGATGTTCAAGTTATGTACAACTGATGCCTGACTTGACAGCTGATAGATCTGATAGTTTTGAAGTTTCAAGTTTCAACTGTTTCCAGGTTGGGGGGGTGCCATGGGTCAATCTATGTCAATCTTCCCCAACGTTCATCTTTTTGAAAGTGAGCATCATTTGAAGCGTACATGGCAAGCTCGCGTGCTGCATCTGCTCCGACTGAATCCTGAGTGGCCAATGTGGCCATCATTGGCAAATGATTCAGTCCGCAACGGGGTCTACCTGTCCCACGACTGGTTCTATATCACCATCAGATACAACCCCATCAATCAACTCATGCCATTCCAAAAGGGAATCGTTCGCAAGAAAAACATAAGCTCAGCAAAATCAGTAAAGTTGCATCTGCTTGTACTTGTGGGCGGAGGCATTGGAGTAGGAGGAATCCTCACTGGAGCCTGCTGCTTGGTCTGAGACATGTTCAAACTAGGATAGAGTTCTGCTGCGTGATTTCCCATACAGTGCTGAAACATTCATAAACGCCCACACCTCGCATTTCGCAGAGCGTGGGAAGCAAAAGGAAGCTTTCCGGCACAGCTGCTTGAAGCCAAAGCTTGAGGCAATTGCAAAGATAATATCAATACAAACCAACACATCGCCTGGCTTAAATGGAAAAAAACATGTCAAGACTTTGGAACGGAAGATGCTCTAGAAGAAACTTCGAACTTGCACCCGCCGCGGCGTCCTTGCCAGCTCTTTCAACAAGCTCATCCATGGCTCTCTGCACCTCTCCAACGTCAGCTGTGATGCGCGCGGCAATCCAAACTGCTGAGTGCGGAAATTGCGATATCAGGATGCAGTCCCAAGTCAGCTGCCCGTGAATCAGCCCTTGTGCCGAAACACTTCATCTGCATTCCTTTTGTGAAGGATGGTGCTAAGGATGGTGAAGGTATTGAAGGTATTCAGATCCAAATGTCCACATTGATCCAAGATGATCCAAGTGTGCTTCTTGTGTGGTGCTCGTTACGTTGGAGACCTAGAGTCTCTTTCATCCAGCCTCCATGGCTGCCACACGATCCACAAGACTTGGAGGATTCAGTGCAGGCTCGTTGCTCCTCTCACAGGGCAGTCAAGCCATGGATGCCTTGGTGAGTCTGCCAGTGGTGGTCGAATGCCGCCCACTAGTATCTACTAGTCATACATCATATATCATCAATGAATATAACATATTTTAATTTATACATATATTATCAATATTAATATTTAATGTACTCTAGATAAAACAATACACTTTCAAGACATTTCCAATACATCATAAATAACTGAAGACTTCTGACCATGCTGTGGTCCGTGGTCCCAGCAGTCCCAGCCCTCCGTGTTGGTTGGATGTCCTCATGGCCTCTGCCAGCTCGGGCATCAAAGCAGCAATGACACTGCCAGTCAGCCTACAGCTGAAAAACAGGTGCTGTTTCAAAGCAGAACAAAATGGAAAAAAAATGGAAAACATAGAAACAGATGTAAACAAAAGGAATAATCTGAACATCTGAAAACTCTGAACTGATCAATTTGGCTTTCAAACTCTCTTTGTATCTTCTATAGTAGTCTATAGACGTGCTGAGGTCAGTGCGGGCGGCCGTTCAGAAGCTTGGGTTCCTGGGGTGTGACATTCAACTCAAATCTTGAAGGATTAGTATAATCTGAAGTTATTTGATCGTGATCGTATTCTGGCGAGAAATGGCAAAAACCCGCTCAAAAACTTAAAAACATTGCCAATTCATATAATTCATATCACCAGAATCATTCATGGCGAGCACGTTGCAAGCTGATGCGACTCAGGCGACTCAGGCGACTCGGGCGAGCACCGAGAGCTGCTGCGCAAAAGTGTTGCCTTGGCGATGCACCGCTTGTGACGACCTCGAAGATCTCGAAGATCTCGAAGAATGTGTCGGACTAAGATGCATGCGGATGTCATCAATCTTGTCTGCGAAACCCTCCTTGTTGGCTTTTGTGTAGTCATCTGGAGCCACATCCTGGAGGGAGGCATGAATGTTTTGCATTGTAAATTAGTATAAGTAAATATTATATTATGCTATTTGACATGATCCGATATCCGCAGCGGCATCATCAAAATCTCTGCCGAAGCGAGGTGATGCTCAAATTGGCACCAACGTTCTGCATTGGCGCAGCATCACGCACAGTACCGAACCCGAAAATCATGAAAATCTGCTGCTATTCTATCATGCTATTCTGTTGCTCTTGATTCTAGATCAGCTTCAATGTCTCTTCCATGCAAGCATCCTACAGTACGTTGTAGCTATCCTACAGTGTGTGATCCCGTTGGTGCCCTTTTATAGGCTCAGGTTCACCCAAAGCACTGCTGAAAATGACATGATGTCATGCCCCGAGGAAAGAAAGGTCTACAGGTCTCCTCGGCGAGCTTGGGCATGCACCACACCTGAGAAACCACAGCTTGGCCAAGATGTTCATGGATATGGAACGATATGGATGAATATGAACTAATTACTGTATAATGATATATAGCATATACCATAAACAAATATTACACTAGATTCTAGATATATAATATATCAATATTATTCTATATTAATATTATATATATATAATAATATATAATATAATATTATAACTTTACAACCAAGTTATACAAAGTTGAAGCTATATGAATATGTCCCAGTCCACTGAATTTTCTCCTATGAAAAATAGGTGTCCTGCCTTGGGCGCTGCCTGGGCCAGCACGAGAAGTCACAAATGATCGTCCATTGGATCTACTGGGTGCTGTTGCTGCGTTGTTCCGCTTGTGGCTATATATGGCTATATGTGGCTATGTTCCTGTCATAGTTGGAGTCACAAAACCATGCATCTCATCTAGCCTCAAAGGAGATCTCGATCGATTTCCGGATCTCATTCCGCTTTTGCATTGCCTGTGGCTGATGGATATATTGATCCCCAGGCAAGCGTCATCTTTCTTCCCATTCAAAATGCTTCAGGATGCAATGACCAATCGCAGTGCAGGTCGTTTATGGCAGGAAGATCATGCTATGTTCTATCATCAGTCGATGTATTTGAAAGCCATTGAGGCCATTGAGGCCATTGAGGCCATTGAGGTAATTGTAAAGGGACAAGATGGGACAAACACAACAAAAACACGCACAAAACATGTACGCAAGGCTTTCTTGCACAGCCTTGGCATGTTGGTCGGTCTCAGCATTCACTTCATCCTGACAAATCGACCAAACTAAGGATCTAAGGATTCACTAGCCACTAGCTGTTCTCAGCCACACCATGGTCACAACATGTCACAACAAGTTCAAAAAGAACCAACCTCATACTGTAATCAACGTAGCTTATTTATAATAAATCATAATAAATCATAATAATATATCCCAACATATCACAACAATGTGCCTCATGGTCAAAGATAATGCTGCGGCATTCGACCTGGCACAAATTTGGATCTGCCGATGACATCCGCGAAAAATCCCATAGTCACTGCAGCATTGCCTCATCGTGGGCACAGTCGCGAAGCACGATGTGCAAGCAGCCGAAGAGCCCTCGCCGATCCTGCGCAAACAGGTGCCATTATATCCATCTATATCCTCTGTAATTATATATATAATGTATTAATATTGGATAATCATAATGACGCATGAAAGATCTTATATATTCACAATTGAATAGTCATGAAGTTCTCAACCACTTATATAATATATATATATACATAATACATGTTAAAAAAAAACGTAGCTTTGAAAAAGGGTGGAACAGTGTTTATAGTGTTTCCAGGATGGTATAATATGTAACTAATATGTCTAGATTATGTCTCCGCTATATTTTCCAGGTTTTCAACTTTTCTATCGTTGTGGGGGCTGCTATATATTGCTATATTATGAATGCAATTATTGTGACAAGTCTCATATGAGGGCTGATATGCCCTGGTTTCACAGCTGGTCAATATGCATGCCAGATTTCAATGACACGCATGCTTGAGTGGGTGGCTTACACAGAGGTGAGCAGATTCGTAGATGATCTTAGGGACTTGCAAGTCAAGCCGCCCAGATGATGCCTGTGCCCAACGTTTCCCAACTTGTGCCTTTCGCTCAGCAATGCAGTTGCCAGCCATCATCAGAAGCTGCAGGGACCTCGGCGCTTTGCATCAAAATTCCACGGCTCATATTGGCTCATCATCATTTTTCGTCACGCCTTCACTAAAACATTGCCACTTTGCGGGCAGCGGTATCCCACATTTTCAGAGCCACCCTTATGGCATCTTATGGCATCTTATGGCATCCTATAGTCACGTTGGAATGAGCATGGACAGTGAAAACCACCTTCAGGCTGCAGCTCTAAAATCGATTCGGATGAAGGTCCCCCAGGGCAAACCTCCATGAGGAGGACCACCTATAGGTCAAAATGCGTTCCGTCGAACGAATGCTGTGAAGAAGTGTCCAGCGCGCCTTGGAGACAATCAGCAAAGGGGTAGCGATTTTCAAGTCCTGTTCCAAGCCTGTCACGAGAGCGGATCTGGATGGATCTGGATAAAATTGGATAAATCTTGGGCACGGCATCCCAACATGTTCAGCGGTTCCACCATGTCCCCACAGCCGACCTTTGTCACCTTGCCCTTCAAGGTCAGCAAAGGCCACCCGAGGCCTCGGAGTTCCAGACTGGAAGAACCAGAGAAAACCGGAAAAACAAACCATGAACAAAATTGAACAAATACATGGAAACAAAATGAAAAAACAACTTTTAAGGATACTTAAGGAACAAATATATACAAATATAGGGACACGATGGGAAAAAAGCATGACCTGTCCTTTCAGGAGATGTTTGGAATGATCAATGGATACCCTAAAAGCCAGTGCCATTGCATTTGGGTCATTCATTTGCAAATGGGTTTTTCATGTTTGAGTCATAAAAAGGCAAGTAAAGATAATGAAAAATCATAAAAGTGTGATGTTGCATTTAATGCTTATCAAAAGTGGGTCTTAATTATTTCATGTACTAAAGTAAGTGGCTTCAGCATAATAATTTCGTAGACACATCATGGTTCCAGGTGTGGACATGGGGAAATCATGGTTGGGGGTCTGGATACCGGCCCTCAGCATTCTTGGTTACATGTGACATATTAGGAGCATGGTCACTACCCATTAGAATATTGTATGAAACCACTCACCCCCTACTGTTACCATAACCATCCATAACTATAACCATAATCTTACAAAAGACACACACACACACACTTTGCTACTGCCCTCCGTGCCAGGTTCAAACTTGTCCGTGCCAGGTTTTGCTTCTTGCAAAAGGGCCGGAACCTTGAGTTTCTCTTTAAGCTTGAGTTGTTCAATTGATAACTCGAATAATGATAGCATTTACCATCAATGACCAGTCCATTTCTAATACCAGTCAATTGATGGCAATCTTTCATGTCTAATACCAGTAAATTTATGAAATAATGTGGTTCATGTCTAATTAATCTGTATAAATAATCTTCATGAAATTATTAAGGGGGGGCAGGGCGGACTGCAAATGCATGCCTCACAGGCTCACACTTCACTGGTCCTCGCTTTGTCCAGCCGTCAGTCATAGAGTCAGAGCAATCATTGTTAGTTAACATGTATTTCATATCAAGTGATCCACAAAGATAACTGATATTATCATGAAATTATCATGAAATTATCTGCATTGAAATCCGAACTTCATTGGTTTCTTGCATGTCTCATTTTTCAGGTGTTCTTACAAATCATTACTATTTCCATCCTTATCAGGTTTTGCTTCAACTGCACTCCAGGGTTTGGCCACCGGCCCTGGAGTTACTAAGGTAGCTTTGAATTAAGGTAGCTTTGACTGCACTCCAGGGTCTGGCCACCGGCCCTGGAGTCACTCAGGTAAGACAATCTGGGTCTGGACACCGGCCCAGGTATCACTAAGGTAGCTTCTGGCGTGTGGCCCTTACTTGTTTTCATCATAGTTGAACATGTTGTCACTCCGGCACTGTAAGTTTAACCCCAATTTTCAGAACAATGCATGTTAATTTTCAACATGCTAAAATGGTTCTATTTCTATTTTTTTTAAATCTGGCAAGTTTGGCAAACACAATCGTAGCAAAATATATCATTATTGCAACTAGACATGTTTATTTTTTCTTCCATGTCAGCCTTTTAGTTTGCACACTTGTCAGGTGACAGCAGAACAAGCAAAGCCATGCAGTTTACCATCATAAGTAATTCATAGACTCTAGTCTGATTTTTATCAATTCACAATGATGGATGACTCATAGTGGATTCATGGATGACTCATAGATGACTCATAGATGACTCACAGGTGTGTTGTAGATGATCCATAGATGATTTTAGTAATATGTTTATTATGTTGTTAGATAAATCCTGGCACTTTGTTAGTAACTGTATTGTTAAACTGCATGGCTTTGTAACGGTCTGGGTGTCCGACCGTGTTTGTTCTGCAGGCCCGGACTCCGGCCTGTTGTCACATGTCCCTGGATTCCGGGACTACTAAGGGACCAAGGTAGACCCAGCGCCTGGCTTCCGGCGCTGGGTTCAGGGACTCCAACCCGTGCCTGGCTTCCGGCACCGGGTTTCAACAAGCTGGTCACTACATACCAGTGCCTGGATTCCGGCACTTGGTAGCCCTGAGCCTCCTTCTTACCAGTGCCTGGTTTCCGGCACTTGGTAGCCTTCTTCAGTCCGTTGCCCAGAGTCATCACAATCACCACCACCATCATCACCATTATCCTCATCACCATCATCATCACCACCAACATCTTCATCATCCTCATCCTCATCGTCATCATCATCATCATCATCCTCATCATCCTCATCATCATCATCAACATCATCCTTATCATCATCATCATCATCATCAACATCATCCTTATCATCATCATCATCATCATCACACATCATCACAACCGTGATCACCGTCATGTGTCTCATATTTAAATGCATGTTCACAGCCATGTTCATCCTAATGTAAATCAACTAAGTCTGTTTTGCACTGTCTTTTTTGGGGTGCCACATTGTTTCAATGACCATCCCCATGGTCAAGTTCACCATTGCCTTTGATGTGATTAAGAAATTTGTGACCGGCCCCACACTAAACATCATCGGTACCATCAGCATGCTCCAGTGTCAGCTTCCTTATCCATAACCATCAACAACATGCTCACTCAGCATCACTTTTAATACTTTGATTATCAACCATTGATCAAAATTGTTTGGTGTATTGGTTGGTGAATCTGTCAAACAAATTAGACAACATATCCGTGAGATTGACCTGGTTTGACCTGAACTACCTTTTGTTCTGTTTCTCTCAAAAAGTTTTAGGTTTTGAGAGTGCCAGTCAGACACATCTTGATTTGTGAATGGTAGATGTGGGCATCCACCATGTGAATATCATCATTATGTGGCACACTGGCCATGGCCAAAAGTTTCAATAACCTTCATGAAGACCGCAATAGGTTGTAGGCATGTTAGTATGAGCAAACATTGTGACACATTTTGATTCTGGCCTCAATAGACCCCTGTCCATGCTAACCAGCACCCAAGTTGAATAGTAAGCATCACCTTCGGGGTCTGCAATGCTGAAGTGAAGGAAACTGTCCGGATGTCCCAGACTGGACGGACACCCAGGTTGCTGCATGGATGCGGAAATACTTTCAAATTCACATCGAATCTGTTGAGTTTGCATTGTTGAGCTTGCACATTATTTGCATTTACTGTTTTTGGACATCTGTCATATATATCAATAGCAGCCTCATCATCATATGTTCATCAGCAGTGACACTTAAACTTTCACTCAAGTGAACACTCCGTCGCAAAATGAAAGCATGCAATACAAACATATGAATGACAGTTTTTCCATTGGAAAAAAAAGCCACAGGATCAAAATAATAAGACAAGGATTTCAGATTTATACTGTAATGGTTCCTGATTTAGCTTGCCCAGTCTGAGGATGAACATGGAGCTGCAACATGGAAAAGTTCAAGCACTGAGTCCAGACCCTTGTATTGTGCAGTGTGTGGATTGCTTGACAAGCTGTGGTTTTTGCAACTTTCATTATCTGATTTGTTGAATTTCAATCAACCAATGTGGTTTCAAACAACCAAGATGTCCAGGAAGTATCTGGTCAAGTTGTGCAAAACGTATTTCTAAACATGCACCTACCCAAGCTACTTTGGCAAACCAATGTCAGTGTCTGGCCACCGGCACTGATCATTTCTTTGCCTGTGTCAGGATACCGGCACTGGGCACTAAGGTTGCAGAAGCCAGTAATTTAATACAATATAAGTTTTTGTATGTGTGCATGCCGGCAATGCTCAATATTTCATCATTGGATTCAACTTGTTCCAAACTTGACCATTCACAGCGATGTGGGGCGTACCACATATTTACATATTTCTGGACAGAAAACTTGGACGACATGTTAAATAGTGACTGGGATATCATCATCACACCGTTTCACACTTGCTGGCAGGAGTGACAATAGAAAAATCTCAACCCCCATGGGAAATGATGCCGTTGGTTGCTGTAGAAGTTGTGATTATTGCAACAAACAATATCATCTGAATGAATGCAAGTCGCTCTACTAATATGTTTCTACCTCGCACTAATCTGTTAGAACTGGATTTTCCAAACATCCAGTCCACACACTTCATGTCATGCTTCAGGGCCAACAGGGCCAACAGTAGATTCAGGTCAAGGGGGGCAACCGTAGGTATGACATTTCTGGACCAACCGTGGATCTGAACCAGGAGGGGCAACCGTAGGTATGACATTTCTGGACCAACCGTAGATCTGAACCAGGAGGGGCAACCGTAGGTATGACATTTCTGGACCAACCGTGGATCTGAACCAGGAGGGGCAACCGTAGGTATGACATTTCTGGACCAACCGTAGATCTGAACCAGGAGGGGCAACCGTAGGTATGACATTTCTGGACCAACCGTAGATCTGAACCAGGAGGGGCAACCGTAGGTATGACATGTCAGGGCCAACCGTAGATCTGAACCAGGAGGGGCAACCGTAGCTCCATCAATTGTAGATCTAAACATCTAAAGGAATGAAAAAAGGTTTCTTGCCAACATTATCGAGGAAACATGGCCCACAGAGAGGGCAACTCGGAGTTGCCGTAGTCACGGGATTTTGTTACCAACCGTAGCCGTGAGATTGTGGTACCAACCCTTGTTTCTCACTGAACATGGCCCACAGAGAGGGCAACTCGGAGTTGCCGTAGCCACGGGATTTTGTTAGCAACCAACCCTTGTTTCTCACTGAACATGGCCCACAGAGAGGGCAACTCGGAGTTGCCGTAGCCACGGGATTTTGTTAGCAACCGTAGCCATGAGATTGTGGTACCAACCCTTGTGTCTCACTGAACATGGCACACAGAGAGGGCAACTCGGAGTTGCCATATCCATGGAATGCTGTTACCAACCGTAGATTCTGGTACGAACTCTATTTCTCACTGAATGTGGTGGCTTTACCAACCGTTTTTCTACTGCACATAGTCATTGACACATGCAATCTCCAATGATGATGATTATTACCTGACTGTTGAGCAACCGTGTCTGTACAGTGTGTTGATGTCAGGGCCCCTGTGGGGAGGGCAACTCGGGGTTGCCGTCTCTGTAGCCTATATTTAACAGATTCTTATGGTGTAACATGGCCTGTCATGATGCCATGAA